TAAAGTAACTCCTAAATGCTTATGATGATCATTAAATTTTACAAAACTTCCAACAAAAATCAAATAAAGATTACATCAGTTTTGTCTGTGTTAAATGTAAACAATCATTTCTTTGACCATATATTAAAAATCTCAAGATCTCTATTCTACTTTGTTTGAATTTCAAAACGAGAACATGGCGATTTAAGTAAAGATGTACAATCTGCAAAGAGACGAGCAGTAGTTTCTTAAACATCGACAATATCTCTGATATAAAATTAAAAACAAAAGCGGTTCAATAATTGAGCCCTGTGGTCCTCCTGATTTGATTAAACCGAATTAGGAATTAGAATTGTGTAAATGACCTTCTCTGAGATAAATGATTTTCAAACCACAATTACAATTCACCAGAAATTCCATAGGATTTTAATGTCGCCATTACACCATTATGCCTTACTCGATCGAAATCCTTAGGATTGTCACAGAAACCATAAATACATGTTTTCCCCCTCCAGAGCAATGCATAAGTTGTGATAATATTATAGGATCAAGTAGGCTGAATCTGGTCAGTCATATACTTGTTGGTTTATTTATAATGTTTGATAAACTGAAGGAAATAAGAACTTGCTAACTGCATCTTTTAACCATGATCTTTTTGAAATCATTAATTACTTCAGAATATAAAAATTATTGTAAATACAAAGGTTCGGAAACATGCAAAAAAGGAGAACAGATAACACCAACTCAAGTCACGGACCCGTAAGAACGAGTTGGAACTTCAGGAAAAAACATGCATTACTTCGCGTATATTCATTATACATTTACCGTAGACCTTGGAATGAAAGATACCGATCGGTGTTCTATCACACACATTGCATGTTATTTCATACTCAACAGATGGTGCTGATGGAATAGCGAGCAGGTGTCCTAAAGAGATACAAACCCTTTCACCTGTACATACTACATTTGTATTTCCCTTAGATTTTTATCACTTAAATTAGTTATGCTTCCAGCATTATTGACAGGCCAAAGGTGCCAGACTCTCCATTTGTTAGACATTCTCAATATTACTGTGACAGAGTTCCAAGTAACAATCGTTATTGGTGACCTTTCAAAACAGTACACACCAGGTCGGCACTTGCCGCCAATAGTGTTGTATGCTTTTCCTACTGACTCATCGCTATGTGTTGTGACAGTGTTAAAAGAGTACCTTGAAAGGACTAAAGTTCAAGGCAAGGAGTTTAATGTACAAACGAAAATATCGTACGGAAACAAGTTGAGTGTGTAACACGAGGGAATGGTATATTTCTAATAATTGTTCATAAATAAACAGTTTCCTTATGTCACATCATATATCAATATTTACTAAACAGAAATAATATACAAGAAACTTTATTTATTGTTTGTCGTATATATATAACGTGATACGACAGAACGGTTTGAAGTTTGAACAGAAAAACATTCATAACAATCCAAATGTGTGCCCAATAGTTTATTTTAAAGAAAAGCATACAATTTCTTCTTAAAAGGTCGATGTTAAATGTGACCAGCCGGTGGTAATTTGATAAAACTGGCTAAATTACAATATATCAATGTATGTCTTATTGCAGTTTTAGTTTAAACATATTTTATTGCAATATAATTACAAAAGGATTGGACACAAGTTATTGCAACTTATTAACGCCCTTTCCATAATGGTTTACAACATATAAATACAATGCAATTTCTTATTGCAGTACCAGCCTAGGCAACAGTGTCAGAGAGTTCTTCATCTTCTTCATCATTATCATTGCCATCATCATCATCATCATCATCATCATCATCAACATCATCATCATCATCATCATCATCAACATCATCATCATCATCATCATCATCATCATCATCATCATCATCATCATCATCATCATCATCATCATCATCATCATCATCATCATTTCCTTCAGATTCATGCTGAAACAGAAAGTAAAGAAATGATTTAAGTTTAAAGCAGTACCATATTGATAACTTTATAACATGTTATTGCACATTAATGTTGAATTATTTTACCATTTATTCATTAAACGTAATCTTATAGTCCCTCTTTTTTAATGGTCTCCATTTAACTATTTCCTGTGTTCATATTCGGTCCTAACCTATCGTGTTTTAGTTGAATCATGATGAAGTTTGCTATAAGATAAAGTACGTCAACAAAGTGAGTTACAGTTCACCATATAACATCTGTCATATTTGTCATTTTCAACTTTTAAAGAAGTTATATTAATGTAATAGATGCTACACTTTATATTACATATTTGGTATTATTTGTCTATATTTACTATCTAACTCTGTTATTTGTTCTTTATCTTGTCTATAAAATTGTCTATCCCCTTTTGATTGTGATTTTTTCACTTCCGGTACCTGATCTATCAACTTATCTATCATTATTATCTTTCTCTATTGTCTGATTTTAATTTCTCCACTTCCGGTTTTTGTTGTTGCTTTATTCACTTCCGGTACCTGATCTATCAACTTATCTTTCATTACATTTACCTCTATTGTCTGCTTTAGTGTGCTCCACTTCCGGTTTCTGATCTATATACTTGTCTTTGATTGGTTGTTTTATTCACTATTACGGTACCTGTTCTTTAAAATTGTCTATCTTAACTACATTGTATCTACTTCTATTATCTACTTTCCCCCTCCAGTTCCGGTTCCTGACTATATATCATTGTCTAGCATTACTATCCTCCTTCATTTCTTTGTCAATTTCCGGTACCTGACCTATATAATTATCCATTATGACTATGTACCTCTATTGTTTCATTTTTATCCTCTTCCGGCACTTTCTCTAAGTTCTCATCTATCTCGTCGCTGATGTTTTTCATGGCCTTGTCCTCTAGGCCACCAACGAGACCACCTAGGACGTCTGTTATTGTCATATAAAACATTTAGATAACATATTGATAACACATAAGGGAAATACAAATAAGGATTATACATAAAAAATATCGATATAATATAAAAAAAGAGCCAACACACGGAGACAAAGTATATATATACGATATACGATGGCGGCAACATATTATGATACAATACCATAGCGTCAACATACGAGGATCCAATACCACAACGTCAACCAGAGTCAACATACGAGAATACAATACCACAGCGGCAACATACGAGTATACAATACCACAACGTCAACATACGAGAATACAATACCACAGCGGCAACATACGAGGATACAATAACACAAAGTCAACATACGAGGATACAATACCACAACGTCAACGTACGAGGATACAATACCACCGAGTCAACATAAGAGGATACAATACCACAACGTCAACACACGAGGATACAATACCACAACGTCAACATACGAGAATACAATACCACAGAGTCAACATACGAGGATACAATACCACAACGTCAACAAACGAGGATACAATACCACAACGTCAACATACGAGGATATAATACCAAAGTGTCAGCATATGAGGATACAATACCACAGCCTCAACATACGAGAATACAATACCACAGAGTCAACATACGAGGTGACAATACCAAAGTGTCAACATACGAGGATACAATACCCAAGTGTCAACACATGAGGATACAATACCACAGCATCAACATACGAGGATACAATACCACAGAGTCAACATACCCGGATACAATACCACAACGTCAACGTACGAGGATACAATACCAAAGTGTCAACATATGAGGATACAATACCACAGCGTCAACATACGAGAATACAATACCACAGAGGCAGCATTCGGGGATACAATACCAAAGTGTCAACATACGAGGATACAATACCACAGCGTCAACATACGAGGATACAATACCACAACGTCAGCATACGAGAATACAATACCACAACGTCAACATAAGAGGATACAATACCACAGTGTCAACATACGAGGATACAATACCACAGCGTCAACATACGAGGATACAATACCACAAAGTCAACATACGAGGATACAACACCACAACGTCAACATACGAGAATACAATACCACAGAGTCAACATGCGAGGATACAATACCAAAGGGTCAACATACGAGGATACAATACCAAAGTGTCAACACATGAGGATACAATACCACAGCATCAACATACGAGGATACAATACCACAGAGTCAACATACCCGGATACAATACCACAACGTCAACGTACGAGGATACAATACCACCGAGGCAACATAAGAGGATACAATACCACAACGTCAACACACGAGGATACAATACCACAACGTCAACATACGAGGATACAATACCAAAGTGTCAGCATATGAGGATACAATACCACAGCGTCAACATACGAGAATACAATACCACAGAGTCAAGATACGAGGATACAATACCAAAGTGTCAACATACGAGGATACAATACCAAAGTGTCAACACATGAGGATACAATACCACAGCATCAACATACGAGGATACAATACCAAAGTGTCAACATATGAGGATACAATACCACAGCGTCAACATACGAGAATACAATACCACAATGTCAATATACGAGGATACAATACCACAACGTCAACATACGAGGATACAATACCACAGCGTCAACATACGAGGATACAATACCACAGAGTCAACATACGAGGATACAATACCAAAGTGTCAACATACGAGGATACAATACCAAAGTGTCAACATATGAGGATACAATACCACAGCGTCAACATACGAGGATACAATACCAAAGTGTCAACATACGAGGATACATTACCAAAGTGTCAACATATGAGGATACAATACCACAGAGTCAACATACGAGGATACAATACCACAGAGTCACCATACGAGGATACAATACCACAGAGTCAACATACCAGGATACAATACCACAACGTCAACGTACGAGGATACAATACCAAAGTGTCAACATATGAGGATACCATACCACAACGTCAATATACGAGGATACAATACCACAGAGTCAACATACCAGGATACAATACCACAACGTCAACATACGAGGATACATTACCAAAGTGTCAACATATGAGGATACAATACCACAGCGTCAACATACGAAGATACAATACCACAACGTCAACATACGAGGGTACAATACCACAGTGTCAACATACGAGGATACAATAACACAAAGTCAACATACGAGGATACAATAACACAAAGTCAACATACTAGGATACAATACCACAGAGTCAACATAAGAGGATACAATACCACAGAGTCAACATACCAGGATACAATACCACAACGTCAACATATGAGGATACAACACCAAAACGTCAACATACGAGGATACTTTACCACAACGTCAACATACGAGGATACAATACCACAACGCCAACATACGAGGATACAATACCACAGCGTCAACATACGAGGATACTTTACCACAACGTCAACATACGAGGATACAACACCACAACGTCAACATACGAGAATACAATACCACAGCGTCAACAAACGAGGATACATTACCACAACGTCAACATACGAGGATACAATACCACAACGTCAACATACCAGGATACAATACCACAACGACAACATACGAGGATACAACACCACAACGTCAACATACGAGAATACAATACCACAACGTCAACATACGAGGATACAATACCACAGAGTCAACATACGAGGATACAATACCACAGCGTCAACAAACGAGGATACATTTCCACAACGTCAACATACGAGGATACAATACCACAGTGTCAACATACGAGGATACAATACCACAGCGTCAACGTACGAGGATACAATACCACAACGTCAACATATGAGGACACAATACAACAACGTCAACATACGAGGATACAATGCCACAGAGTCAACATACGAGGATACAATACCGCAACGTCAACAAACGAGGGTACAATACCACAACGTCAACATATGAGGATACAATACCACAACGTCAACATACGAGGATACAATACCGCAACGTCAACAAACGAGGATACAATACCACAACGTCAACATATGAGGATACAATACAACAACGTCAACATACGAGGATACAATACCACAGAGTCAACATACGAGGATACAATACCACAACGTCAACAAACGAGGATACAATACCACAACGTCAACATACGAGGATACAATAACACAAAGTCAACATACGAGGATACAATACCACAGCATCAACATACGAGGATACAATACCACAATGTCAATATACGAGGATACAATACCACAACGTCAACAAACGAGGATACTTAAGCATTGAACTGTTTTGATATGGTATTTATGATCTATTTGAATGACACAGCTTTGCAAGCAAACAACATAATGCGCGCTAGCTCATTATGATTTGTTTGCTTGCAAAGCTGTGTCATTCAAATAGATCATAAATATCATACAAAAACAGTTCAATACTTATATTTACGTTTTCTCTGCCTCTTATGTTCTTTTTTAACTTATAATTTATAATTAAAATTAAAAATGCCCGCCTTATCGACAGTCCACACAATTTCGTTCAATAGTTTGAACAGCGTATTGTCGCGTGCTGATTGGCAAACAAAGTAGTACTTTGACATTTTAACAAACACTTCAAATTTATTCCACAATTTAGTATCAATACAATTGCGTATGATATGTCTATAGGGTGATTCCAGTTTTTCAATAGAAATCTGAGCTGAAAGTTAGATTTGAAATTGTTTCGATTTTCCCCCGGAACAAATTTCGCGCATGGATAAATACAGTGAACACCGTGAATGGGACCTTGACCTCCACGAGGGAGTTATTTTTGGAAGTTAATTCGAACTTTTCTCTTTGCTCATTTTGTGAAGAATCCAGGCGTGAATGTATTTGTTGATTGTATGGGAACCCGACAACAGTCGGTAGATTCTATAACAGCATCGTTATTTGACATGTCGTCTGAAACTGAGGAACCGTGGATCCGAGACGCGTGAAACTGATAGCGTTTGAAGTGAGTGATCTTGCGACGGAGCACAGGTTCGTTACAAATGTCTGAAATGACGAATGTTTATGTGTGCTGTGACTCATATCAGTAGGTCTGTAACATATGTGTCAGTAGGTCTATAGAATATGTGTATTTCAGACATTTATAACGAACCCCTGTTGATCAGTGCAGTGTAACAGACGATATTTCTGATAAATTGCATGAGCGTTAAAATTGTTTCCATTGCCGGCATTGGTGATTTCAACCGATGTGCATTTTGTACGATATTGCAGACCTTGGTCTTGTTTTCGTTGTAATAAAAGTGTTTTTTATTTTATTTTTTATTTTGCACATAAATTTATAATGACATTATCAAATCTCACAATGCCCAGCGATATTTCAGCAGCCGTCATGTTTATTTACATTGGATATTGTAGTTCCGGTCAGTGTTGTAATTAATACGCTAAGAATTGTGTCTCGTGCGGCATGGTAATTATGTCTCGTGCGGCATGGTAATTAAAGTCCCATCAACGACCCCGCTTTCAAAGAGGCTATATAGTGACAATGCCATGCAAATGTAAATATAATACCACAAAATCAACATAAGAGGATACAATACCACAGCGTCAACATACGAGGATACAATACCACATCGTCAATCAATGTATGACAATGTAATAACAAATACATAGGCTAAATATTGGACTATCGGTACAGATATTACTAAGAAAACCGTTTTTGTCAAGAAAAGAGCATATTTGGAAGATGAGTGACGAAACTGGATATTGACTACTTTTCGTGAACATATCTACCCTTAGTTGTATCCATGATTCCATTGTCGTCGTCGTCATCGTCGTCATCACCGTCAACGCCGGTGTCGTTCTCGTTGTCAATGCCATCGTCGGTGTCATTATCGTTGTCGCTGTCGCTGCCATCAGCACTTCGTCTGACGACGATAGATTTGCCGGTAGTAGTGTGTAGTATTACACAGAGAGCGAGTATAAGGATGACGGCGTTGTGTCCGAGAATCATGTTTTAACGAGGACGTGTAGGTGTATGGGGACAAGACGGGGAGTTAAGGAATATATACAAAAAGGAGGCGATCAATGCCGTCTTTTGTTGATAATTGATAGTATGCAATCTGTGTATCATTCACGGGCCACAATCTGTGTGTATGTGTTTCATATTCTGTAAAATATCAGTACCGTAGCTAAATATTTATTCATGTTTCGGAAGAAAATGTATATAAAAAATGTGCTTATCTTTAAAAAGTTTGGATGCATGACATCATTTGATTATTTTATTTGGCTATAATGCTACTTGCTAAAAACGTTTTTAATCTAAAAATTCCATCCGTAACATGAGAATGTGTATACGATGTATTAGGCGCAACACATCAAACGTCTATTTCGTAAGTCTGGCCTTACAGATTGTAATTTAACGATATGTGATTGTGTCTTTCAATGACAACTTAAAACGTGTAGACTTTACTTATTTTGAAATTATGAAACAAGTTACTTCAACTTGTAGATATTATTCAGTGTTGTTGGCCCGAGTGTTAGCGGACACTGAGTCTTAATGTGGTAGGTCTAACTCGGAGAACAGTCACACGGTCGGGCATCCCTTTTTACGTCCGCTAGAGGGGTCGAACCCTAGCCGCCTTGGTGAAAAGCAAGTGCGCTATCCATTGTGCCACTCGACGACCCAAATAACATCTTTAGAATTACTATCCTAAATTGAAAACTATATAATAATATTATAACACCTGCATTCCCACTCATGTACTCGTTGATAGATGGAGACAGAGACAGAATGAGATATAGAGAAGGTGAAGAGACGGAGGTAGACAGTCCGGAGAGATATAGAGAAGGTGAAGAGACGGAGGTAGAAAGTCCGGAGAGATATAGAGAAGGTGAAGAGACGGAGGTAGAAAGTCCGGAGAGATATAGAGAAGGTGAAGAGACGGAGGTAGAAAGTCCGGAGAGATATAGAGAAGGTGAAGAGACGGAGGTAGAAAGTCCGGAGAGATATAGAGAAGGTGAAGAGACGGAGGTAGAAAGTCCGGAGAGATATAGAGAAGGTGAAGAGACGGAGGTAGAAAGTCCGGAGAGATATAGAGAAGGTGAAGAGACGGAGGTAGAAAGTCCGGAGAGATATAGAGAAGGTGAAGAGACGGAGGTAGAAAGTCCGGAGAGATATAGAGAAGGTGAAGAGACGGAGGTAGAAAGTCCGGAGAGATATAGAGAAGGTGAAGAGACGGAGGTAGAAAGTCCGGAGAGATATAGAGAAGGTGAAGAGACGGAGGTAGAAAGTCCGGAGAGATATAGAGAAGGTGAAGAGACGGAGGTAGAAAGTCCGGAGAGATATAGAGAAGGTGAAGAGACGGAGGTAGAAAGTCCGGAGAGATATAGAGAAGGTGAAGAGACGGAGGTAGAAAGTCCGGAGAGATATAGAGAAGGTGAAGAGACGGAGGTAGAAAGTCCGGAGAGATATAGAGAAGGTGAAGAGACGGAGGTAGAAAGTCCGGAGAGATATAGAGAAGGTGAAGAGACGGAGGTAGAAAGTCCGGAGAGATATAGAGAAGGTGAAGAGACGGAGGTAGAAAGTCCGGAGAGATATAGAGAAGGTGAAGAGACGGAGGTAAACAGTCCGGAGAGATATAGAGAAGGTGAATAGACGGAGTTAGACAATCCAGAATGTAGCTGGAGATTACTTACTAAAGTGAAATCGAATGTAACAAACATGTCAAAATATATCTTGGATTTTGTGGTTGTCAAACGGAATACGTGGCTCTCTGTTCGCTGTCCACTACTCTTTATACTTGTCAGTGTAATACTGGCGATTCAATTCTCCCCCGGGCACGTTGGCCCCCGTAATGATAGAGGATAGCCTACAGCTGTTGCAGAGATAACTTTTTATTCAACATAATCAATTGCATCCTTTTGTAGATACAAACACGACACATCCTTCGATGACCCGTCTAATCACGTGACTTGTGCTACATTGCACCTGTTCCAAGTGACTAATGCCACCACGTGACCCGTTATCAATCTTCCTCTATAACTGTGTCCTGCATACGTGGAATAAAATGGTAATTAGCTGAAGTGATTTACACAAAGTTCGGAGTGATATTTATATCTAAGAATACATCTTGTGTTTGGAAGGTCTGTTAAGTGGTCATCAACAACAATGTACATGTACCTCGAGATGTGGCAATGATACATACCCTGTCTAGAAGTATAACTAATTAGTTTAGATGTCTGACCTCTGAGAGCATCCCTAATTTCTATTGGAAAATATTGGGATCATACTCTTTCACGTGTATCTTGAAAACTTATACAGTACTGTAGTGTCTTGGTAGTGAAGTTATACCATAGAGCAATGCTACAACTATAACACGATAGTAGATATAGACTATTATGTTATTACAAACTAAAATATCAAAACCTGAATAATCGAAAAATCTTTATTGCCAAAAAACGCAGAAAAAATGAAAACAAAATGTGAATATAACACAATGAAAGTTACAATACAAAAAAACCCGGGTAATTTGCGATTTTTCAAATTACTAACCCACCTTTCGTGGACATTTCGTAGTTATCAGGTGACATGTTAAGCTGATGTCATTAGACGTATCAGGTGACCTGTTAAACTTGTGTCCTCAGTTACTTGTCGGGCACACTAGGTACGTTACCCGGCGGCCTATTATACTGGTCCCCCTTGGGACTACCTTGACCTTTAGGTACAGTTCCTCCTCCACTCGACTGAGTCTCTGTAGCTTTGTTTTTCCCGTCCTGTGTGCCCTTTACTTTTCCTGGTTTGTTATCAGGTACCTGTTGATGTGATTCGCCAGCAGCCTCTCCGCCCTCCTTCCCTGGAGGTTTCATTTTACCCGGGGATTTATTTTTGTCATCGACTCCATGACTTCCGGTCGCGGACATACCACTGTAGTTTACTTTGAAGGGACTTTTGTTGTTGTTTCCTACGCCGCTTGATTCGTTCGCACTTGAGTATCCGGCGCCGCCATTCTGTATGGTTATTTCGTCTGGTGGGATGTTGAAGTCAGCGCTTTGAGTCTTGTCGCCCCCTGAGGCGTCCGTGTGTTCTACTTCATGTTCTCCAGTCTATGGGATCTTAACGATGTTTACGAACAATAACCAGAGTTAGTGATGACATACGGTGGACCTTCAATATGTGACATGTTTTGTATTCGCCGTTAAGTTTGGACAATTTCATAAACGTATTTAGATTTCTTGTGACATATATTCTTTTTGCCATGTTGTTTGAACAACGTAAATGCATTCCTGATTTTTAAGTGTTATACTTCTCAGGTATTGTTCCAAAAGGGTCATATCTCGGGGGCCTTTGTAGGTAGGGGACTCCCAATCACTTAGAAACCTGGGATATGGATACTTTCTTTTTCTGTGATGATAATTACTGATTTTTATTAATATATGTGATTATTTCCCTATACTTGTAATATAATATGTTATTGTTATTTTACATGTTTGTCGCAATAATAGCTCTCAAGAGCTAATATTCCTTGCTTACCTGTATGCGACGTTAAATAAAATTTCTTGTATCTTGTGTGTCGACGTTATTGTATATTTCGTCTTCCTGTGTTGACGTTGTGGTGCTTTTTTCCACTGTGTGTTGACGTTATTGTATATTTCGTCCTCGTGTGTTGACGTTGTGGTGCTTTTTTCCCACTTTGTGTTGATTTTATTGTATATTTCGTCCTCATGTGTTGTTGATGTGGTATATTTTGTCACTGTGTGTTTACCTTATTGTAAAATAGGTCGTCATCGTGTGTTGACGCTGTGGTATATTTTGTCACTGTGTGTTTACCTTATTGTATATTTCGTTATCGTGTGTTGACACTGTGGTATATTGTTTTCACTGTGTGTTGACGTTATTGTATATTTCGTCCTCATGTGTTGACGTTGTGTTATATTTGTCACTGTGTGTTTACCTTCTTGTAAAATAAGTCGTCATCGTGTGTTGACGCTGTGGTGTATTGTTTTCACTGTGTGTTGATGTTATTGTATATTTAGTCCTCGTGTGTTGACGTTGTGGTGTATTGTTTTCACTGTGTGTTGATGTTATTGTATAGTATGTCCTCGTGTGTTGACGCTGTGGTACATTGTTTCAATGTGTGTTGATATTATTGTATATTTCGTCCTCATGTGTTGTTGATGTGGTATATTTTGTCACTGTGTGTTGACGTTATTGTGTATTTAGTCCTCGTGTGTTGACGTTATTGTGTATTTCGTCCTCGTGTGTTGAAGTTATTGTGTATTTCGTCCTCGTGTGTTTACGCTGTGGTATATTTCGTCCTCGTGTGTTGCCGTTATTGTGTATTTCGTCCTCGTGTGTTGATGTTATTGTGTATTTAGTCCTCGTGTGTTGACGTTGTGGTTTATTGTTCTCACTGTGTGTTGACGTTATTGTGTATTTCGTCCTCGTGTGTTGACGTTGTGGTGTATTGTTCTCACTGTGTGTTGACGTTATTGTATATTTCGTCCTCGTGTGTTGACGTTCTGTTATATTTTGCCACTGTGTGTTTACCTTATTGTAAAATAAGTCGTCATCGTGTGTTGACGCTGTGGTATATTTTTTCAATGTGTGTTGATATTATTGTATATTTCGTCCTCATGTGTTGACACTGTAGTGAATTGTTTCACTGTGTTGACGCTATTGTATATTTCGTTATCGTGTGTTGACACTGTAGTACATTGTTTCACTGTATGTTGATGTTATTGTATATTTCGTCATCATGTGTTGTTGATGAGGTATATATTTTGTCACTGTGTGTCGACGTTATTGTATATTTCGTCCTCATGTGTTGTTGATGTGGGATATTTTGTCACTGTGTGTTGATGTTATTGTATATTTCGTCCTCGTGTGTTTACGCTGTGGTATATTTTGTCACGGTGTGTTGATGTTTTTTTATATTTCTTCCTAGTGTGTTGACGCTGTGGTATATTTTGTCACAATGTGTTGATGTTATTGCATATTTCTTCCTCGTGTGTTGACGCTGTGGTATATTTTGTCACAATGTGTTGAT